ACCCACAGACTACAAGCTGCGCTATGTTCACATTTAAATGCAGTAATTCAGCTTCTAAGTGCCCAGAAATGGTGACCAGTGTCCTAGGATCACACGATTTTGAGGAGTGAAGTCCTTCCCCTTTCTAATATAAACAAGTTGGGGGAGAACAAAGAGTTACGAGCTATTCGTTACAAGTGATGATTTTCATCGCTTCTCCCCCTTTACCCTGATGGGATTAGACTTCCCGATCTCCTCACCCTTCTCTGCCCTAGGGACGTAGACCTAGATATTCCCGTCTGTCCTGTCCCTATGTCTTTGATTGATGGATTGAGTATGTATTAGCTTGGTCACTCAAAGGCGTGGCTTCCCTTTTTCCCCTTTGGTGCGATCCTGGTTGCAGCAAACACTACGAGCACGACCCTCGATTACTCATCCTGGACATGGGTGACATCTGGCTTCTTTTCATCCCGCTGTACCTTTTTGATCTAGACTTGTTATTTCAGGGACTTTTTTTTTATAGTGTCCACGTTTGTGTGCTGCCAACGCAGGGCACCACATAACTTCCCATGCCCTCTAAAAATGAACCGGGGAAAGCCATCCAAGTTTGGACACCATGAAGCAAATTGCTGTAAAACAAAGCATTTGCGAGGTCACCCTCTGAAACAGATCTTCCAAGCTACGAAGATCTGTTCCTGAAGAAGAGCTCGCCAAATATTAGTTTTGTAACGATGTACGTTCATAGTGTCCGAACTTGGATTGTTTATGCCTATGCATGTATATGTTGCACTAACAATTACATTAATTAGTGCGGAAACATGAATTAGAAGTGGTATTAGAACCGCTTTCTTCATTGGCGGTCTGGAAGTTGGACGTTCCATCTATAGAAGGACATCCGGTCGCCTTAGATTTCCCCTTTCCGCAAATAATTGGACCCTGTGGATTATTTTGGCATCGTTAAAAAGAGCGTATATCATTAATAGAACGTTAACGCATACGCTTGAAAAATCTTAGCTATAGGAATCGTGCATCTGTTCCACATTTTACCTGTTCCGAATTAATTTGCGCTATGAAGTGAAGATATACATCTGAGGAAATAAACGTAGATGAATCATTTGACCTTGTTTGGCTTCCCTGGTTCAAATTTTCCCATGGAGCAATTGGTTAGAGACCTGTTTGAGCTTCATCTCACTATATTAAATGAAATATGAAGAGCAAAGTGCAAGAATGGAAGTAGGTGCCATAGAGGAAGAAAACATGGCACAACTGTATGTTCACATGCGGAAACAATTTTATTGCATCATAAAAGGATTATATTCAAGATTTTCGGTCAAAAGGAAGGCAGGTTAGGAAATAAGAAGGAAAAGCAGTTCAGAAGGTTCAGGTTTTTTGGGTAGACAAATGTTTCAACACTGTACTGTCCTAGCAAGTTTTCCCTTACGAGGTCAGGAAACTGTTCCCGAAGAATTGTCTTCATGAGGCATTGGAAGGCCTTCCAAGATATGTGGAAATGATGTCCTTGGTCTCATTATCTGCCATCACATGTGTCCTACGCGCTTGGGAAATTCCTGATTTGCCTTAGCAATTTCGGATATTACACTCATCCAACTTGTTTCCATCCCAACACATGTATTTATCCCGAAATGTGCCTTCTAAACGCCGACAAAAATTGTGAGAAGGATGCAAATCATCTGGAATATCAATATATTCAGAAGTAGAAGAAACAATCGAAAATGGACGAACTTCTTTTGTAAGGTACATCAGCCATGGCTTGCATGGTCTCCCTGAGACCGTCACATTCATTGTTCCAGTGTATTTTTTCCATACACCGCTGCGCTTGCACGGTTCGGGTCCTGGTAGAGATATAGGTACAGTAGGCAGTAGTGCAGTATTTAAATTAGAGTTATTTTTATACTGCAAAAAATAAAGGTTCAAACTAATATATTTAAGTAGTTATACGCTTTCAGAGCGGTGTTCGGAGATTGAAATTTACTTGAACTACTTCAACCTCACTTAAAAAACTATACGACATGAGGAAGGGAAAAAAAGACTCGGAAACATTTGAGCTTATTAGGAAGGGGTTCGGGACGAGTCTCTGTTTTGCCTTCTGTGGAACCGTGTCTTCATTATCTTCGCTTGTTGGCTACTAGTGGGAGTGATCATATGAATGTCACAGATCATATAATTGATTATTTGCGGTGCCAAAGCTCTGATAATCCTGGAAACTCCAGGCATCTACCAATTTCAGCTCGTGAGAGCTATTTCCAATGAACATGCTAAAATCTTCAAAAATGGTTTGAATCCGAACTTTCAATGCTAACGAGTCTAATTGTTTTTCAATATATTTGCTTAATATATTCCTCGCTGCAATGATTGCGTCAATATCCAATGTTCATTCATCAAACTTTCATATTCTACCTCATAAAAATCTTGAGATCGTGGTGGAACCAGGATTCAGTTGTAGCTATTCCACAAAAATGGTCCCGCAAAGTTTTCACTCTAAAACCTCTATTATTTTTTACAGATTAGAAAGTATTCATCACTTTCAGGAATGAGGAGGATCACAAAATAAAATGTAGGAAAAATGCAATGTAATACTTACCAACGACGCATTTTCCCTCGACTCGTATGTCACATTCTTCTCCCTCATTTTTGGGGCAAAAGGGAACATCGCAATACCCCCATTTCCCGTCGGGAAAAGGTTCTATGTAACACCAAGGACTTCGCTCGTTGGGACTAGTTGGGCTAGGACTGCGACAAAAGTTGTTAGTTGAGTCAATTTCTTCAGGGAACATCGAAGTTGCCGCGTAATTCAACCTTTCACTCGCGGAAAATGTTGTCACCCAGGGTTGACAAGAAAGGCCAGAAATGGTGACATTTTGTTTTCCAACATATTCTCCTCCCATAGCCGTCAGCTTGCAATTTGGCGGATCTAAAAAGAAAACAACCGTCTTGACTAATGGGTGATAATCGATGATAGTTGACTAAAAATGGATTGTGGGACGAACTCATATCATGGCAGAAGGGAATGTCGCAGTACTCCCACTTCACATTGACGTCAGAGACGAAACACCATGGCTTTTTTCTATTCGGCCCAGGGTTCCGACAGTGGTTCTTGTGTATTTTTACGTCACCATTCAAGAACAAGTATCTTGTTTCATAGCCATAATACAACTTTTTCCATGAGTCGTCTTTTGGTTCAAATTGTGTCATGTAGAAATCCCAAGGCATGTCATCAACTTGGTTGGCCCACAGAAGACAATCTTTTCCTGTCTCGGTGATACTCATGGTTCCTACGTATTCCTTCCCTTTCTTTGACAGAAGGCATTCAGGGTACACATTCCCCTCGTTGCCAACATTCCCTGTGGTGTCTTCTACAACATCTGGGCAGAAGGGAACATCGCAGGCTTTGATTTCATTATTGACATAGCAGAAGGGAACATCAAATTCTCCATATGGGTTGCGGCAGAAGTTGTGCTCCTTCTCCATGCCCTTTGAATCAGGTATAGCTTGATACATATCAGTGAGACTGCTGAAAGCATTTTTCCAAGGGGTGCATAGAGAACCTGATACGTCCATGTTCTGCCTCCCAATGTATTCAGTGCCCATTTCAGTCAACTTGCACTCCGGAGGTTCTGTCGAAAAATAAACACATATACGAGGTCTAATAAAAAAGAGTATCCGACCACATTTTTTTTCTTTTTCACAAAAAGACGCTTGAGGCCGGGGAGTAGGGTGCGTGTGACCTTGAACCTCCATGCGCATGCGTGAATTATTAATCGTCGCTCGGACTGCTCAGTTACCTTCAATCAGTCAAAATCTATTGTTGTGCGTTTTCTGCGCGTCGCATTGACGATGACTGAGAAAATTGAGCAGCGTATCTGCATCAAGTTTTGCCATAAACTTGGGCACTCATGCTCAGAAACATACGGTATGATTCAGAAGGCTTTTGGGAATGAGGGAATGGGCCATACGCAAATTAAGGAATTGTTTAGGCGGTTCAAATAAGGACGGACGTCAGTGGAGAGTGATGAACGCTCAGGGAGGCCATCCACGAGCAGGAACCAACAGAAGATTGACAAAGTGCGTGCTGCCGTGCGAGAAAAGCGGAGGATAACAATTAGAGAGCTGTCCGATGAGTTGGGGATTTCGTTTGGTTTGGTACAGTCCATCCTGACAGAAGATTTGGCTATGAAACGCGTCTCAGCAAAATTTGTCCCAAAACTGCTGACAGTTTTCTGAGCAGAAGGAAGCTCGCCTTGCGGTAGCCAGATATTTGCTGCAGTGTGTTGATCGAGACGCAAACTTCATGAAAACAATAATTACCGGTGATGAATCGTGGGTCTACTGTTACGATCCGGAAACCAAAGCCCAGTCATCACAATGGAAGACTCCTCAATCAACGAGGCCAAAGAAGGCTCGCCAAGTTCGAAGCAAAGTCAAAGTGATGTTGACGGTTTCCTTCGATCACAAAGGCGTCGTTCACCATGAATACGCAAAAGATGGCCAAACTGTAAACAAGGAGTACTACTCCGGCGGCTGCATGATGCGTTGTGGGAGCGGGGCGACAAGCTGCTGCACCATGACAACGCCCCCGCCCACTCGTCACACCTTGTCCAGAACTTCTTGGCCAAACATCGAATCCCTCAAGTTCCGCAGCCCCCCTATTCACCGGACATGGCTCCATGTGACTTTTTCCTTTTCCCAAAGTTGAAAATGCCATTGAAGAGGAAGCGGTTTGAAGACACAGAGGAGGTAAAACGTAAAGCGACGACGCAGCTGTTGGGTATTCCACAGAGCGAGTTCCAAAAGTGATTTGAACAATGGAATGACCGCTGGAACGAGTGTGTGGTGTCAGAAGGGGCCTACTTTGAAGGGGATTAGGACCGCAACACCGTAGTTTAGAGAGTTTTTTTTTTCCCAGCCATTGGTCGGATACCTTTTGGTCAGACCTCATAGAAAATGCAGCCATAAGTTAATTCCGACTGTAATTTTAAAAATGCATAATCCTTGCCAGAGGAGGTCAATGCGTGCATACATAGCAGAAGGGTCTCGCAGAATAAAGGAAAGATATTATTGAAAATTAAGATACACATTAATTACTCAATTTTTTCAGCAAGAAATGCTTTTTCTGACTTAACTACAATAAAAAGCATTAAAGTAGGTACTCCTGCATAATAGATGCAAATTGAAAAATGCACATGAGCTCAACACTTTAATTTCTATTTGGATTATTGAATTCCTCTGAGTCCCATTTGTTCGATTGTTGCAGATTTAGGTTTCTCTTTATTGAGTTTTTGAATCATTAGTTAACAATTATTGAAAAAATATTGCACTCTGCATGAATTTGGACTACAAGCGGGTTCCTCCATGGCCTCGGATTCCTGCTCAGGTGCACCCTTCCTCATTTGCAAGACATCTCATGTTGCAGGAAATGGAAGATACAGTTAAGAGGAAACGTTGCCATAACAATTTTTTTTTTACCTGGATACGAGCATATCGGGATGTCGCAGTACTCCCATCGAATTTCCTCGCCATCGGTGAAGCACCATGGTCCTGCCAATCCGGACGGGTTCCGGCAGTAATTCATTTGAGGCTGGGTGTCCATTCCCGGGAAATTAACCTCATATCTCATGTTCTTTTTTCTCATTATCTCCGGAATCCATGTAGATTCGCGTCGAGACTTCGTTCTTGGTAGCAGCCAAGTGCCAACGGATTCATCTGGTATACCATGCGGAATGGCGTCCCATCTCAGACAATGTTTTCCGGATGCTGTGCGATTCATCGTTCCAATATACTCTGTTCCGTTCACCGTTAGCAGGCATTCCGGATATTTTACTTCTTCTGTGAATGGCGAATCTGAAGTAACGTTGCTATCTACGAAAGAATGACATCATGTTCTATGAACCAGTTAAAAGCATATTTACCAATCTAAAGTATCCATGTCGTTTTCCCAACGAGATGGAAGTATTGGAATGGTATGACCAATAAATGTCGCGGTTCTATTTGGTTTTGAAAAAGAAACGCCACTGGGCATCAGCTGAAAACTAAAGGCAAGGTGTTACTGTTTAAAGCTCGGATTTGTTTTTCGAATACCTTTTCTTGCAAAGCACCGTTTCAGCTCGTTCAGGTCCCATTCGAAAGAGCAGTGTTTCTCATTTTATTCCCAATTCAAATTTAATTTTATTGATGGAGTGAGCGCTGAGAAAACTCTGTTGGCGAGCACAACACTGATATCGATATGCGCCTCCGTGACTAGAGATGTAAAATTACCGGTAATGGAGAACCCATTACTTACCAGTAATTTACAACTAATTTACCAGTAAAAACCTATATTTTTCCGATGTATTCCCACTAGGTTACCAGTGCTCCAAGAGTGCCACAATAAGCCTTTTTTTTTTAAGTCTCAATATCCTCTTTTGCTTGTTTTTCTTCTATTGCAACTAGAACGGATAGTCTTATCAAAGGATGCTTCAAAATAATTTTTGGCTTTCAGTTCAGAGTCTTGTGGAAATCGATCAGCTTCGATTCATGCAAGATGACGTTCCTCCATATTGGTCTGAAGATGTCAGCAATTGGCTCGACGAGAATATCACCTTTCGGTGGATGGGTCGAGGATCTTCGACTATGCAGTGCCCCCCACAATCGCCGGGGTTCACGGTGGCAGATTTTTTTCTCATGGGGTTTCGTGAAGAGCAAGATTTACACTTCCATCATCAGCGATCTGGACGAGCTCTAACGAGACTTTGTCAACGGCTTCGGAGAAGTCACGCCAGATATGCGCTAGAATGCCTTGCTACCTATTGCCGAAGGCTGCGCATGTGCATCCAAAATAACGAGGAAATGTTGAACTTCGTATTTTTTGCGTGGTATTCACAAACCAATATTAGCGCTAATTGGGAATTAAAACGCCTAGTACGCCGTTAAAACACGAAATTTATTGGCCGTTGCTTTCACAAACGAACAATAACAGAAACTGGGCATTATCGGAAGAAACTTTTAATTACAAGCTTAAAGTTGGGTGTCATCAACTTTAAAGTCGCCAGTCCACATTACAATGCGTGAGAGATGTGTATTTTTCGGCATTGCAGCACCTTTCTTTCCCGGAAGTTGAAGTAATTGGGGAATTTCTCAAAATGAATTATTGGAGAATCCCATGTACCTTACCTCGCGACAGGCAAGATCCCTTCACTCTATACTCCGAATTAAACTTCAAGCAAAGATTTAATGTATGGCTATAGCTATGTAAGGCTACTGCTCTGGATCTGACCGCAAAAATTGTGTCCATTCTGGGACTTGATAACCGCAATAGGTCAGCACTATCTCCACTGTTGCGAGTGCTTTGTTGTTTGCGACTATTGACAGGAGGATATTTTTCCTGATTTTTGACGGAGACCTATTACATGTGTCACGAGCAACAGTGCCAAGAACCGTGAACCGCTTTCTCAGGGTCATTCTGTCTCTCCGCCAAGAAATTATCGAATTTCCAGACATTTTGGAGGAGGTGAAGTTTAAGTTTACAGCAATTGCAGACTTCCCAGGATTGAATGGAATAATACTAGTAAATTGCACCCATGTGAAGATTAATGCCCGAACGCACAAATCTCATTTTTGGAAGATAAAGGAGCATTTAAGCTCTTATTCTCCCATGGGAGTCCATGTATTCTTAAAGGACCGCAAACTGAAAGAGGTTTTCAACATTCGGGCCTTTGAAGCTTACACATTTTCCACTGGCAGAAGTGTACAGGAATCACAAGCCTCACTTTCGATTGTCAAGTCGTAGTTCGTCACGACATCAAGGTCAGCAGTGTTGTAGCTCGTTGGCCAATATACGCCAAAAAGATCTTTCAAATGGAAGGCTCAAGGCTCGGTTGGAACATGGCGACCTCAAAGGCAAAGGCTGGCTCTTCTGGGTGATAAAGGCTGTTGTCGTATTTTGCCCGGATAATCTGAAGCATACGTATTTTCAGAAACAGAAAAAAAACTTATTTGCCATTGCTTCTTGCCACCTTCAGCCATAGTGGGTAGATTTCAGTCAAAGTCACTTTCAAGTCACTGTGGGATGATTCACGCATGCGCAATGATAGACGCCATCTTGAAAAGGGGATGTCGGATGACCGCGGCAGGTTCCACATCTTTGAATCGAATTTAGTGTATAACATTAAATGTGAAGCTGAGCATTAGTTTGTGAATACCAATAGAGGATAATGGCGATCTTCAACATTTGCTATTTCCCAATTAGGCTAATTCCGAATTAAGTTAATGCCCGTTTGTGAATACCACAACTTAACTTCCATTCGGGCTTAAACAATTTTGGGTTTTTCTTGTAAAATACTAAAAAAATTTGGTATTTGAGGAATCTACTGTATCTGTTCATACTCTAGGAATCTAAAAAATTTAAAGTGCGCATAAATGAGAACCCGGCTCTTTCGAGTGAGGCCTCAATGAACTGCAACGGAGCAGTACGAAAAAGTTCTTCGAAAAACAAAATTGGGTTTCATTCAGAAACATCCTGTAATTTTGGATTCTGAGAGTTTATGGATTGAGGTGTTTTAATGACACCTTCTTTCTTTTTACGCATTACTCCAGCCAGCGTTGTCACAGAAAAGATCCATATTATTGACATCTGGGAATTATTTCGGGGTACCTAGTCTTGCGATTGACATTTCCACTAGATTTTTTAGTGATAACTTACGTACGAGTAGCATTCACGTACATAAAATACCGTCGTTCCTACATACTGGTGTAATTAAGTGCAACATAATTTTTCTTTTGTGAAAGCTTTACCCTTTCTGCAGATGGTTCAGTGGAATACAGGACTCGCTAAAAACCAACCTCCTGACCTCTCGCCCAAGATTAGAGGAGTGGACAAGGTTGGGCTATATCCCAGCAGGTACGGTGCTCAAAGAGCAATATCGTCACTTATATACATTCTTCTAGGCTGAGTACTCATTCATGAGAATTCATTCCCTCATATATTTCGACTCCACGAAAAGCGTCCGATTGGTCACTTTTTTTAACCTCGTTACCTTCCATTCTACTGCGTTTGTACGGTTGCATCGCATGATTGTAACGCTGCGAGGTACATAGCATTCGAAGATTTTGAGCGCATGTGCCGTTGCCGCCTGCAAGAAAAAACTAATGATTTCAAAGCCGATGAGTAGAAAAACTGGTTTTGTCGTTTTAAGAGATCCTGGGTTTGTAAAGACGAAGGTGACTAGGTGAAAACGCGCGGAATCTGAAATTCCTGAGGTGGACTAAATGAGAGATCCCAAAACATCACGGCTAGTGCCGATTATCAACTTTCGCCGAGATGAAAATTTCAAATCGAAATTCCAAGTTGACGATTGAGTATACCAAATATTTGCCAGAACGCGGCACCAGGATACACCAGGATTCGCTTAATAAATTCAGAGTTCCTCAGCAAGGGCATGAAAGTGAGGAATAAATGAAGATGCTTCCTTGAAATGCTGAGAGGGAGTGCTCAAGGTGCTCGTGAAAATCACGTGCCATGGTTGCATCTCACATTTTCGAAATATAATTTTCTCCCCCATTTATGTGAGTGACGTTTCTTCGACTGGATTTCGTCAGACGAGGTTCAGTCGAGTTGAATTGTCCGTATTGCAAATCTACCCCATGGTAATTATTCGTTGTCTGACAGACTGCATAACAGTTCTTCTAATAGAACGCTCCTTTGTTTGCATATTACTTCTACTATGTTTTAAAATATTTAATTGGCTGATCTCTAGTGTTAACAAGGAAACACCGCGTGGGGGTCATCTTTCCTGGATCCCGTAAAATTTTTTGTAGTTTTTGGTTGATTAGACAGATTTTAATCTAAATGCTTACAAAGATCATGAGTATGAAGTGCAATGTAAGGTCAGTTATTATAATTATTATAATTCAGTATTAAAAAAATCAGGCCGATATAAAATGGACAATGAGGGTACTTAATTTGTATGATTTTCCAAGTTATGCATGATTCATGTAAATTAGGACCTCAAATCCATTTTTCCCGTATTCCACGTTGATGTCCTTTATGTTCTTCGCTGGGACTCTAGATATTGCTTCCTGCTAACGGTTGTTGTCCCCGGATGAATTGCTGGAATTTGAACTTGTTCAAGCTTCGTTCTTTTTTCAGGCCTGCAATGAATATCCAGATCGCAGGATGGTTTCGATGAGGGAAGAGAATGACTTCTGCTGAAAGACAGCTTGTGTTTAGCATCCAGTCAGAGAGCGCCACGGAAGTGAAAACAACTAAGTGAAGAAGCAGAAGTATCTCACTTTCCTGCGTGCACTGAAAGTTTGCACATGGACTTTGTGCAAACTCCCTTCTGCTTCAG